ACAGAGGTCTGTGCTCCCACACATCAAGATAACTGAGATGCTGGCCCTGCCCAGAGTCACACTCCTCAGGGGTCAAGGAGGAGTGTCGCTTAGGCCCAGGAGGTTCCAGACCAGCCAGGGCAACACAGCAAGACCCTGTCTCAAATAAACAAAACAAGTAATGAACACACAAGCCAGCAGAAAACCCGTATGACTCACAGCAAGGAAGACACGGAGCCACCATCAGTGGAGGATGTAATCGCCTGAAAGCATCTCAAGTGATTCAAAGGAATAACTGTTACAAAGAAAATACAAATGCTGAAAGAGTCAAACTCCTAGAAACAGGAAGCAGAATGGCGGTTAGCAGGGGCAGCATCGAAGGGGCAGTTCTTCAAGGGATATGGAGTTTCATTTTTCAAGATCTAAAGGTTCTAGAGAGCTATTGCTCAACAATGTGCATCCAGTCCACACTACTGAACTTAGAAATGGTGAAGTCCACTTAGAAATGGTTAAGATGGTAAAAATCTTTATGTGTTTTCTACCACAATAAAAAGAAATGTAAATATCATCAGTACTCCTAATCATACGTAACTTCCAGATAGATTAAAAGAGTTGCTATTGTTTCTAATTGTTCATTTGTAAAATAAACGTTTAGGATTCTGAACACATCCTCTGGAGGCTGGAGAAAAAAATGAAGAAAGAAAGAAAAGCAAGCAAACCAAAAGAATCCAATAAAACTAATGTATTTATTACATATTTGCAATTAATCTTTTTTTTTTTTTTTTTTTGTACCAGGGACTGAACCCAGAGGCACTTAACCACTGAGCCACATCCCAGCCCTTTTTAATATTTTTTTTTAGAGACAGGGTCTTGCTGAGTTATTTAAGGCCTCACTAAGTTGCTGAGGCTGTCTTTGAACTCAAGATCCTCCTGCTTCAGACTCCCAAGCCACTGGGATTACAGGCATGAACCACTGCACCCCGCAAAATACTTTAATAAACCTCAGAGTTGACAGTTACCCTCACGTGCACTCAAACACCCTGAAATGTATGCAAACAGATACCACTCGCCAGGCCCCCTGCAGCAGGGCTCATCCCCCAGCATGATCTTTAAGAGGAAGTTAAAGGCTTGTACTGAACCAGGCCCCCGCCTCAATCTTAAAACATGCAAAGCATGCCCTGTCTAGGAAAGGTGGATCTAGTCACCAGTTACTCCGCCACGGGGAAGTGGCCTGCCCAGCACTAGAACCGGTCATCCCTACAATGATGAGTTACCTTAGCAGAGAGATGACACTCATGGAACTAGGAAGGTTGAGTGACAGATAAGAAAGGATGGAGGATAATTTTCAGAGTGACAAAACTGACCAAAAGAAAGGAATCACAGTAACAAAAACAATGCAGCATGAAGGACGTACAGCCATTGGTGAGGGCAGAATGGCATCCTCACCAGGTGGACAAGGGCAGGACCCAGGCAAATTACCCCAATTCTCAGCAAAGGGAGCAACATTGGGATTCTAGGAGAACAGGCATTTCAAGCAAAAATAAAGTTGATTAGAAGAAAAAAGAATACAGGTAATCATTGTCAGTGAAACAAATTATTACACCAAACTTCAGTGCCAACGAAATCATTTGGCTTCAACTAATGTGAAGTGGTCATTTAATACAGCTTTTGATGGTTTATTTCTGACAAAGAAAGTGGTAGGTGGTAGGTTGGTTGGTTTTGGTGCTGGGAATTGAACCCAGGTCTCGCGCATGCTAAGCCAGCACTCTAGCACGGAGCGACACCCTCCAACCCAAAAGTGTTTAAAAAAAAAAAAAAAAAAGAATGATCGTGAAGAAATATAACTCCATAGCAAGTCAGCATGTATTTATGTAAAAAAAAAATCATGTTCAAATTTTATTCTCTTCTTAATAAAAAATTGCTACCATTTCTGACATTGATGTTTCTTTTTTTCCCTAAAATATACTGCTATCATTTTACTATCTAAATATTAAGGATACATATTATTGTCCTTTTCCAAGTCATAAATGATGAAAGAGTAAAACCCACAGACAAATTGGGAAAATAAGATCAGTAGCCAAAACAAGCAGCACAGAGGAAGGGCTGCTGGCTACTGGTTTGGAAGCTAAAACATGACAAGAACACGCCCACGACAACACAGGGAGCCACACCTGGAGGTGACTCAGCCTCCGTTCCGAGCCAGTCATCTGACACGCCTCAGAAGCCCAGGGTACAGACTCAGCACCTACCTCAGGTCTGAGGACATGGGGCCTGGGACCTCTAGCAACAAGCAAAAGTAACCTCAGCTTCACCTTGGCCAAACAAGACTGTGCCTTGTCCAGAAGAGGAATATATTTTGCTAGATATCAGAGGCCTCTGCTGTTATGGGTGGTACAATGTCACAATAATCTGGCCTGTTGAGTAAATGATGTGCTCAACCAAAATTAAACTCCCCCAAGTGAATAATTATATAAGAAATGTATGTACACATAACTGCATAACTGAACTTTTGATCTACATACTTTATTAATTAATGTTTTTCAATATCTACAGATACGAGCTTAAAAATAAGATATTTAAGATTCTTAATGTAGCAATTAGCAAACTTATAATTTTAGGCAGAAATTATGCAGAAGACAAATACAAAGGAAGATCACTTTAAGGATTAAATCTATTGAAGGCAGCACTAACAGCTGGGGGGGGGAGGGCACTTCCTGAGGTGATGGTAATGTTTAGTACCTACATACAGGGGTGTGGGTTGCGCTGGAGCATCCATTTGTTAAGATCCTGCAGGTCAGACCTCTCTACTTATATGTAGGTAAATTTTACCTTAAAACACAAGTAAAAAAGTGAGGAGTGGGTAGAGGTCAAGCTGGAACAAGGCAGGCAGATTTTTGATGTTGTTGAAGCTGTGTAATGATTACTTCAGGGCTCGTTTTACTATTCTGCTTACTTTATATTTGTTTAAGAGCTTCCATAATCAAAAATTGATTTAAAATGTTTCCAAAGACCACTTAATAAATAGAAAATATTCACAACATGTTTAAAAAAAAAACAGAATAAAAACTACATTCCCAGTATGAATCTAATAATGTAAAGCATACATGTAGCATGTGCACTCAGATATGTGTATGTACATATGTATGAGTATGTGTGTATGTATGTGCGTATATATATATATATGGCTGTGCTGGGGATTGAACCCAGGACCTTGTACATGCTAGGCAAGTGCTCCACTACTGAGCTACATCCCCAGTCTGACCCTTTTTAAAAATTTTTTGGAGACAAGGTCTTGCTAAATTGCTGAGACTGACTTCAAACTTGCAATCCTCCAACCACAGCCTCCAGAGAGGCTGAAATTATAGGCATATACTACCATGCCCAGCTACCTTTTTGCTGCCTTTTATCTTTTAAAACCCTTGTGGGATTCTCACCCAGAAGTTAACACCCTCTAAAAATAACTTGCATCTGTTTCTTAAAAAAATCAAACCAGTTCATTTTTAGCTACATTAAGACTTCTGAAATAATAAAGATCCAAATAATAAATGGAGATAAGGGAATCAGTATAAATATTGCATTTGTCAAAAGAATAATAAAAAGTTATACTAGCCTGTAATTCCAGCATCTTGGGAGGCTGAATCAAGAGGATCACAAGTTCAAAGCCAGTCTCAGCAACAGGGAGGTGCTAAGCAACTCAGTGAGACCTTGTCTCTAAATAAAACACACAAAAGTGCTAGGGATATGGCTCAGTGGTTGAGTGCTCCTGAGTTCAATCCTTGGTGTCCCCCCCCAAAAAAAGTAATATGAGGTATGCAATTCAGGTTTTAAGGCCAAAGCTAGGATCTGCAGGAGAGATTGTGCACACACATCCCTCTAGAAGAATTCTGTCCAAGAGAACTTGATGGAAACAGAACCGCCATGATGAAGAGGAAGTTGGTGTAGCCCAACACACAGCCACTAACCACATGTGGCTCACGGGACTACAAAAGCGGTTTTTAAGTCAGTTTTAATAGCCATCTGTGGCCAGCGGTCATGTATTCTGGAAAACACAACTGAAGGAAAACACCAGCACCAGACTCGCGGTTCTGTTGAGCGTTTCCCTGCTCCCTCCCCTGGTGCAGTGATGTGCTGGTACCCACATCCTTTCTCCTCTCCCTGTGTATCTACCAGAGCGTAAGGTTAAGAAAGTGCACACCAAGCTTCTTGTACTTGCTCTTGAGAAATACCGCAAATGAAGAGTACCAGCTACTGTGAGATTTTCTGAGCAAAATCACATCATCCATTAAAATACAGCCTAACCTCATTTTCGTTTTTCTTCTACCTGCTTCCTCAGAAATCGCTTCTGAGTTTCTGATTTGTGCTTTTGGTCAACTTTCACCTTTTTGTCCTTTTGTTTTTGATCTTATCCTTGTAGAAAAGCAAAAGGGAACAAAGAGAAATTGAAGTAACACAATTTTCTCAACAGAATTACTCGAGCAAGTATACACACACACAATACAAAGTCCAGTCACCCAGAAGCACCAGTGTTACTGGGACTGTTTTCACTTATCCTTTCACCTGGGTCCTAGGAAGCTAAAAGGTACGCATGGGGCCAAGAAACTACCTCATACTGGTGTTGAGTCCTTTTTACACCTCATAGCTTCTGAAATACACCTTTTAACTGCCCAGATTAATTCCAAATTTTGAAGACTATAACACTTCTCAAAACTTTTAAAAACACCAACAAAGCAATAAAATAGAATAATAAATTGAATGGATTTTCTAAAAAATGTCAGAAATCTCACCTCTCCTAATATCCAAGTCAAAGAGGCCAAGATCTTTTTTCCTTTAATTTAAAAAACTTGCTTGAACAAAATATACAAAATATCATATTTAAACAATGTCTTCATTGTATTTCCCCAAAAGAACCATCAGAAGATATAGTACTGAGACCACCCAGATCTTTTATCGACTATTTCCTATGCAGATCAGATCAGCAACATTTCCTGCTCATTTATTCAGTTGTAAAAGATCCACCGTACCTTGAATGGTCTTGAAAATGTTGGGCTCGTAACTGGGATGCCACAAACAACGATGATGCAATTGCCAATAGCTGGTGTGTCTCATTCTCTGTTAACACATGTCCTGAGGGAAATCAATCAATCAATCCATCAACCACATGTACAACGTTAACAGTTGTGCCTCCATCTTAGAGAATTAGTAGCCATTCAAACGAGTATTTTATCAGGCATCTATTATGTTTTAGTAACGTACAAGGTGCAGGAGTCAGGGTGCAAGATTGTTCAGTAAGACAAAAAGCCCTGCTGGAAGTTTACTGTCACATTTGGGAAAGGAGATCTTAAACGGACTCACAGAACAAAACAACTGTAAAGACGCCATGCCCACAGAGATCTCCAGGAAAAGCTTAAGCTCCTCGCATCTGCTGCTTTCTCACTGCCACCCACAATTTTACTTCTAAGGAAATGGAGACTAGAAGAGGAGTGATGCTGGTCAAGGACAAGGGCAGGTTCACGTTTTTTTAGTGCAAAGGATTCAAAGAAAATAAAGGTGTGATTCTCTTGCCTGTGTGTGTGAACTCGGGGCCTGGGGCCTCTTCCACCCATTGATCAGTGAATTTCTCTCTCCCTCACTCTCTCTTCCCACCATAAGTTAGCTGACCCAAGGGGCAGTGGTCTAGCCTGGGAAGGCCTGGGGAGGACCACTGGTGTGGCTGAGAGCTGCGCGGCAGGGAAACCTCCTCCACGCACAGAGTTCCTCAAGAAGTGCAAGGGCGGGGGGAGTCTCCCCCTCCAGGGCCTGAAGGCTAAGACATCCCACAAGAGCTGTGCGACCACAGAACTTCTAAAGCTATTTATCACAGGACTGTCTGCAATAGTAGAGCATTAAACAGCACAGCAGGAGCAACCTGAGTGCTGGACCATCAGCAGTAAGATGTGTTTATACAATTCTGAATTTATTTGAAAGAAATAATCTGAATATTATGTCTAAAATCACGCTAAATAGAAATGAAACTAAAAATATCCAAAATTAAAATATAAATACTTTCAAGATCTGCAGCTCATTTTTCTATGGGAAGGTGTTTCATGAAATTGAAGGGTCAGGAAAGCCCAAGAAATCTATTCCCCTTCAAGACAAACCCGGAAGCTACGTAACCCTAATGCAAATGTGGTTCTGGGAATTCAACCACAGACCTCCATGGGAGCTTCCAGGTTTTGGAAAGTTCCTGGTCATCCCCTGACATTGGAACAGTGATGGAACCATCCCATGTAACTTCATAATTAATTATCCTATAAGAAAGTGTTATAGAAATTTGTCCCCACTCTTCTCAAAATGAGCAGTGTAGGAGCCATTCAGGGTCCTGCAAAGTTAAAATATTTTTCATAGTCCTAAGATTGATTTTCCTTTTCAAAACAAACAAACAAAAATCTCTCATTCTATCAGGAGTCCCTCGATCTGCAGAGGTTCCTAGTTCTGAGGGATACATACACAACATGTGATGACGTCATTGCTCTTATGTCAAAGCAAAATGGATTTATTATCATGAACTTTAAAATGAATTGATACAATTTTTACTTTTTAAATTTTCTAGTATTAGGGATTAAACACAGGGGCATTTTGTTACTGAGCCACATCCCAATTTTTTAAATTTTGAGACAGGGTCTCGCTAAGTTGCTGAGGCTGGCCTTGAACTTGTGATTCTCCTGCCTTGGCCTCTCATTGGGATTACAGGCATGCACCACCACACCCAGCTAAAAAATAAATTAGTAAAGTTTTTTAAATTTCTCCAGTTTTAATTTATAATGTGGCAAAATCACAAGGCCTTTTGGAGTATAAAGAGGATCAGTTCTTCTCAAATGTCACTGGGCATTTGAATCACTTGGATTAAATGAGCCTCCATTCCTGCATTCCACCCGCAGCATGTGACCAGTAGAAAGCATGGGGAGAGGTTGGGTAATCTGCATTTATAATAAGCTCTAAGGGCAAGAGATGTCATACCTTCAAACAGAACTGCTTTGGGTCATATTTATCAACTTGCATAAAGAAATCAGTCCATGAAATCAGCCTAGGTGCCCTTCAACAGATGAACAGATAAAGAAAATGTGGTACACACACACAATGGAATATTACTCAGCCATAAAGAAAAATGAAATTATGGCATTTGCCAGTAAATGGATAGAAATGGAGACTATTATCTAAGTGAAATAAGTCAATCCCAAAAAACCAAAGGTCAAATGTTCTCTCTGATATATGGATGCTAACACACAATAAGGGGTGGGAGGGCGGATAGACAAAAGGGAATGAAGGGAAGGGAGGGGGATGGGAACAGGAAAGACAGTAGAATGAATTGGACATAACTTTCCTGTGTTCATAATATGAATACACAAACAGTGTACTCCACATCATGTACAACCACAAGAATGGGAAGCTATACTCCATGAATATATGATATGTCAAAATACATTCTACTGTCACATATAACTATAAAGAACAAAGGGAAAAAAGGAATCAGTCCATAAACCCAATTTAGTGAGACATGCTCAGCAAAACCAATTATCAAAACACTTTGAACACAGTATTTTTCATGACAATTGTGTGTAATTATGTGTAATTATGTGTGTGTGTGTGTGAAATGCATTTCCTCTAGTGGTTCACAGAAGACTTGACAAGCCCCTTCTTCAGACACGCATGCATCCCACATATCATCGGGAATGGAAAGGCAACACATTCTGGGACCCCTTTAATGGCAAGACATTCATTACTATTTTACTTGGTCTGATCACCTGCTGGTGTGCCAACTCAGGCCATATGGAGAAAGGAAGTGCCCAAATTGAACGCACCATCTTTCATCACATCTCAGACAAACTGATATGCTCCACATCAACTTCCGCCCTTTTGTTGATAGCCCACTTTGAAAGGTATTCAGGTCCATGTGTAGGACTTGATCGTAACTGACCCATTCCACCAGCCGTTCTAGCATAAAGCTATTCCTCCTCATAACCAGAGTGGCTTTATCTCCTGCAAGTTCCCCTGTGGCCTGATACCCACACAGCCTCCCTGCCCTGGCTCGACCCTGGACTCTCCTTGAATGCTCCCCGCTGTTGGTCCTCTGGTGACAGAATGCTGGTTTCCATTCTTCGCTCCAGGCTGACAGGCCAGACAAAGGTCCCTTCTCTTTTCTGAACAGGATCTCATCCACAGCCGCCTGCACAGCTGCCCTGGGGGAGCTGAGAATGCACACAGCCTGCCAGCCTGCAGGAAGGCAGATCCCCAGAGGGCAGCCAGCGCTTCTGCTTGCTGACAAGTCCTACCTGCCCAGAACTCTGCCTGGGACACACTCACGTATTCAGATGCTTTGGGATGCGTCCATCCGTTTCCACAGTGGGAACATAAAGTGATAATGATCAACTCTTTCTCCCTTGCCAGTTTAGGATTCAACTTTCCTATATTGCAAAGTCAGTAAAAATTATCTTTTACCTTTTCCTTTTCTAAAATGCAATTCACTCTCTTTCCCTTGAGGGCCCATGTCTTCAAAAACTTCAGTTTAGTGGGGTTTGGAGCGGGAGTGCATAGGCATATTTAAGCAATCACATTTACTTCAAAATTAGTTGGAGGACTTTCTTCAGCAGTTTCCTCAAAATAAATACACATACTGAGACATTTCTCTATTTATTTGAAAACACCTTTTTAAAACACTGACACAAATGTATGAAAGATGATATATCATGAGCTTTGTAATGTTTTGAACAACCAATAAAAAAAAATAAAAAAATAAATAAAACACTGACAAATGCAGGCTGTCTTGATTGAGCACAGTCCTCTGGAACCAATTTCTTTCCTATGCAACAGATCTTGCCTTTAGGTTCTCCACCTTCTGGTTTATGGAGTCTGAAGAAGATCTCAATAAACATTCTTGGCATATCTTTTTTTCTTTTGTTCTTATTTCTTTTTTTCTTTGTGGTGCTGGGGATCAAACCCAGGGTCTTATTCGAGGCAAGCACTCTACCAACTGAGCTATATCCCCAGCCCACATTCTTTATTTTTTCTTTCTTCCTTTCTAGAAGCCTTACACAGTTTTTTCATTAATCCTATCTGAAATCTGGTGGATCTTTCCAAACCCCAAGGCTTCTAAAGAAGAGTGAAACCAAGACTCCCCTACAACTTATTTCATCCTTGTTTTGTCCATTTTTCTTTCCATTAAACTCCCATGATATATATTCATTTACATGCAAAATCTTGTGGATCTTCCCTCCACATTTCTTACTGCCTGAATGGTTTTATTTTCTTTACCTTTTTGCTAAATATTTTGGGACACTTCGTTCAGTTATTGCCTTGGGTCACTCGGTTCTTAGCAGTGACCTTCAGACACTTGGACTGCTGAAATGTCTTGGCTCATCAAGCCTTCTCTAATTTAACCCCTCTCTGCTCTGTCCGTTTTCAGTGAGTGCAGGCATCTGCATCTGTGCTTCGTCCTCGGGGACCCGCTGAGGTCTCCGTCTCAGATGGGTGACCCTCTTCCTCTTCACGCTAGTGGCCCTCATGTCAAAGGGTTAGGCAGTGGTTTGCTGGGAAGTGTTTTAACAACCCACTGGGTGTGGGGGAAGGAGAAAAGCCCGAATGTGTAGCATTTGCTAATTTCCTTTTGTATTTTTCACACACAAAAATACATACATATATATATATATATATATATATATATATATATATAAAATTATGACAATTTCTTTTGATGGGGCTTCAGGTCAAAATACAGCAAGGCAATAGGGAAATAAGTTCAAAGAGTTTATTACATTCCAATTGAAATTATGATTCTTAAAATATTTTCTTCTTTATTTCCTCTTGATTTCAGAACCAAAATATCTTATTCTTCATTTTCCTTATCTTTAGAATCAAAGTAAAAGGAAATGACTGAATTCATGTTTTCTCCCCTCTTATTGCTTTTTAGGGATTTATTTGAGCAAATGGAAACATCAGAATATAAAGAGTGGACCGGAACAGTTTCTTGTGTATGCTTTATTTTAATTTTGGACACAATAATTTCCAAGTGCAAATTTAAGAAAATTCAGTAAAACTATCTTAGTCCACAACAGATCTGGGGAGGTAAGCTCATATAATAGAAAATTTTAATGCAGTCATAAAGACAGACACTGTCTATGAGCAGCGCCCAGGAGAGCAGGACAGATGGGAAGCAGATGGGTAAGCCCAAAGGGACAAAGTGACCCTGCCTCAAGCATGTTGAGAGGGTCCTGGACTAACTTCAGTTGCCACTTCCTGCTGTCTCTTTCGGGCACATGTATCAAACAGTCAAAGACGATAGTTCAATTTATCTAAGACTTGCTCTGGGTTAACATAGGAAGGAAAGAGCGAGCACTAGGAGACGGTGGCCATTCAGAGAGGAACAAACTGACCACAAACCGTAGGCGGGAGTGAAACAGGAGGCATTAGGAACGGCAGACACAGGTGTGCATGCTGCGAGTCCTCGGCGGCAAGACGACACGCAGTGGGCCCAACCGAAACGTCTGGTGATTTATGAATCTGAAGCCCAGCACAGGGAAAGAGCCCTCGCGCTGGATTCGGCTGGGATGTGGCTCAGTGGTGGAGGGTAGCAAGCTCAAGGCCCTGGGTTAACCCAGCACTGGAGGATGAACAAATCAGGGAGGAGAAGCGAGAGGGAGCAGGGGAGACAGAGGAAGAGAGGGAGGGAGAAAGAAAAAGAAAAAGAAAGAAAATCCTAGGATCTGTTCCTGGCTTCCTTATTTTACTGGTCATTTAGCCTCATCAATTGCTTTGAGTTTTTGTTTCCTTGTATGGAAAATGAAGGCTGAGCTTAAATAACTGCAAAAAGTTCTTCTAACACTTGTAACAATTAAAAATACTGTAATCCTTTCTTGCATAAGCTAAGAGGCAAAATTACAGTGTCCTGCTGATATTCCTAACCAAAAATAGAAATTTAAAATGTATTAGGCATATTACAGAAAACTGTAATATATAGGTTTTTAGTGAATTTCTGAAGGGGATTCCCTGATCTACAGAATGTGGAACATTTCCTATTGTTGCTAAATGTACAATACACGGTCATCAACTCCAATTAGAAATTTTTCTATGGGATATTTTACCATTTATGCATACTCATGTGAATGTGTGTGTATATTTAAATACCCACACATGCATATGCTTGTTCTAAAGGTTCTCTGAAGTGTTTGCCTGTTTTCTCCTTCGGCCCACCATTTCCTATCATATCACCTTCACAGATGAATTTGGTCGGCAGACACAAGAAAATACTGAGTCTACCTAACAACTTACCTCAACTTTTAATTAAAATCTCAGTAAGCACAAGAGGCCAAAACAGTAGAATCAAAACAGAGTGAATGGACTACCTGGAAACATGTACAGATAATTAAAAATATGCAAAGTAATCCCCTCATCAAAACTACCAATAAGATTCTTTTAATTAATTCAACAATTGTTTACTTAATGTCTGTCATGGTTTGTTGCTAGGGACACAGTAAGAAGCAATGACTTAAGTGATTCCTGACCTCATGAAACCAACAGACATTAATGAAATCATTACACAAAAATAAAACTGCAATCATGTTAAATATGCATTTTCTTTTATACTCTTTCAAATTTGTAAGTTTTTAAGTACTAATAAATCCTTGGATTTTTAAAAATATTTATTTTTTAGTTTTAGGTGTATACAATGTTTTATTTCTATGTGGTACTGAGGATCGAACCCAGTGCCTCAGATGTGCTAGGCGAGCACTTTACCACTTGAGCCACAACCCCAGCCCTGAATCCTTGGACTTTTTTTTTTTTTTTTAAGAGAGAGAGAGGGAGAGAGAGAGAGAGAATTTTAATATTTATTTTTTAGTTCTCGGCGGACACAACATCTTTGTTTGTATGTGGTGCTGAGGATCGAACCTGGGCCCCACGCATGCCAGGTGAGCGCGCTACCGCTTGAGCCACATCCCCAGCCCCTGAATCCTTGGATTTTAAGAACCCAAATAAAAGAACTTCCTCCTTCCCCTTGATACCAATGATAAAACTCTAGCACTAATGTTTAAAATAAGATTCAAATCTATTTCTTAGGAAAACTCTAAATTGTAAATTTTAAATTAAAAATTACATTGTAAATGCATTTAGCAGATCAACTACATGAATCTACATATCGCTCCTGACGTGACTATGTAAGTCCTTTCATAGACTAGAACACTTTAAATGAAAGACTACCTAACCTTTGTACATCCCACCATCACCAGAAATTCGTGTAGAGGCTTCTGGATCTCACCTTGTCTCTTTTCCATGAAGTCTCAGGTAAATCCTGTGAGTTTCTTAATAACACATTAACCACGTCTTCAACACTCACAGAAGAGTTTCCTCCGTTTCTCATTTTTTCCTCCTCATCGACCATTTTTTTCTATTACTTGGAAACACTCACTGACAACTGTCCAGTGCTAAACATCATATTCCACTCATTTCTTTATTGAAAACTTCATTTTCAGACTAAAAACCATCGTCTTCTTACACATTGTCTTTTTTTTTTTTTTTTTTTTGTACAAAGGTTTGAACCCAGGGGTGTTTTACTACTGAACCACATCCCAGCCCACTTTATTTTTTATTTTGAGACAGGGTCTCACTAGGTTTCTTAGAGCCTCACTAAGTTGCTGAGGCTGGATTTGAACCTATAATACTCCTGACTAAGCCTCCGAGCTGCTGGGATAATAGGCAGGTGCCACCATGCCCAGCCGACATCATCATTTTTATCAACTAGGGCAAGCATCTGGATTTCTGAAAATGTCAATGCTGTTTTTCATAAGGATATACAGAGTCACTAAAAAAGGGTTCCTATATATACCTATATCAGAAAGTCAGGTAGGACAATGATCTATTAACATTCTCTGCCCACAGGCTAAACTCACAGAACATTTCACATGGTTTCATTCTTCACTCAATAAAACTGCAGATTCGTATATTCAAGAGTCACACATGAACACTTAAAATCATGAATGTCACTAGTCTAGGATATTGCAAATATGTTAATAAATCAAGTATAATATAAGTCAAAGGCCAAAATTTCAAAATGGAAAAATTGTGTGTGACAATAAAGCATGAAAATAATGACTTTAAGTAACAAAATAACTTGGAGTAACTAAAATATTTCAATCATACAAACCTTTAAAGCCATCAGGATATACATCCGACAGAAATTTAGTACTGATGTCTCCTTTTACAAAGCGTGAATTGATTATCACCTCTCGAAGTAATGCGATATTATGTGTAACACCTAAAAATAAAATGACATAGGTTAAATTGGGGAACAATGAGTCAGCTAAAAACCTAATTCTTGTAACTTGAAGAAATTTATCATCAGTGTCCAATGGCCTAGGGAGAACACTCAAGAGTACTTTTCCATTTGACTCTCAAATAACAGCAAACCCCTGAACATGAAGTAGCACTAAAACACCCACATCCACTGTAAACTTCAACAGCTTGCTACCATCGATTCAATTGGGAAATAATGTCTTTCCAACAAATAGCACTAGAACAACTAGATATTCTCGGGAAGACGGGGAGGGAAAGAAATTGAACCTCACTCCAATTCACATCAGAGACAAAAATCAACTCAAAATGGATCACAAACCTAAATGTGTCTTAAAAGTCTAAAAACTATTTTAAGATTTATAAAAGAAACAAAATTTTTGTTACTTTGGGGTAGGAAGCAGATTCATAGTGCACAAAAAAAATGAACCATAAAAATATCAACAAATTGTATTTCATCTAAATGTAAAGTCTGCTGGGCACGTAGATATAAACCTGTAATCCCAGCAACTCAGGAGGATGTGGCAGGAGGATTACAAGTTTGAAGCCAGCCTTAGCAACTTAGTGAGACCCTATCTCAAAATAAAAAATAAAAAGGGCTGGGGATGTGGTCCAGTGGTAAAGAGTCCCAGGTTCAATCCCCAGTACCAAAAAACAAATAAATAAAAATAAAATAAATTTAAAGTCTGTTCTTCAAAAGATAGTTTAGCACATGTGAGACACTGGGTTTGATCCTCAGTACCACATTAAAAAATAATAATAAATAAATAAAATAAAGGTACTGTGCCCATCTACAACTAAAAAATAAAACATTAAAAAAAGATAGTTTAAAAAGTGAGCTGCAAATCACAGACTGAGAAAAAATATTTACAACACCATATGTCAGACAAGAAACATGGAATTTTTTTTTAAAAAAACCATTTTTACAATACATCTTATAAGACAACAAACAAACCAAGCTTAAAAAGAAAAAAACGGGCAAAAGATCTAAACAGACAGTTTGCAAAATGTCCAATAAGCACAGAAAAATGTACAGCATCATTACTGTCAAAAATAAGAGATGCCACTACACACCAATTCACATGGCTAAAAATTAAACCATGGCTGCTGGTGAGAACAGGGAACAATCCGGACGGCCCCACCTGGAGGTGGCAGTATAAAATGGTCCACCTATTTTGAAATAGTTTGGCAGTTTCTGAAAAAGCTAAACACATCCTCATCTCATGATTTGGACAATTCACTCCTAAATATTTTCAAGTTCAATAAAAATATGTCCATGCAAAGACTTATACACAAAGGTTAATATCAGCTTTACTTGTAATAATCAAAACTTGGAAAAAATCTAAATGTCCATCAACAAATAAATGAATGGATTAATATAATGTGGTTTTTCCAAACAGTGGAATTCTATTCAGCAGTAAAAAGAGACGAGTCATCAACATACAAAATAACAAGGATGAATTTCAGAATAATTATACCCAATTCAAGAGGCAAGACCAACAATAATGCATAGAGTATAAATTACTAAGAACAGATTTGAGAAAATGCAAAACAAACTATAGCAACAGGAAGCAGATCATGTGGTCACAACAGAATGGGGACATGGATTACCCAGACCCTGAGGAAGCCTCTGGAGGTGACAGAAACGTTCAGCATCTAGTCATGATGGTTTCATGGCTGTACGTGTCTGTGTCAGTGATCATCAAACTGAACACTTTACATGTTAGAAGTTCATTCTATGTCAAATGTACTTCAATGAGTGTGTGGAGAGGGAGACCAAAAATGTGTGCTCAGCAGAAAAAAAACTGAGCCTAGCAGATAATGACTATTTGAAAGTAAAGTTAAACTAGGTAACTGCTGCGAGAGAAATACAAACGGTGCGTGGGAGAGTCCTATGACACAGAAGGGTTTATGAAGAAGAGCCTGGGTCATCTTGATTACAGGGCCTTAAAAGTAGCTCACAAAGTCTAAAACCCTCAGTCCACGGCCAAGGAAGCCCACATCTGTTCCTGGGTCTTAACAGTGTTGATCTTCAGTCAGCATTTATTCCTCACCTATCGTTCACCTGGCAATCAGATCCCACAGGAAGGAAGCTGAGAGCACACCTGATTTGGAAACTTCCATTAACCAGTTATGGAATGAGAGAACCACAAAGAAACGCGAGGTGCCTCAAAGTGAGAAAACTGTGGTCCTGGGAGGCTGGATAATGTAAAGTCCAACAATTACAAACTACAATGGCAACAAATGGTAGCACTAGTTTTCTCCAAGGAGAAGAAATATGGGTAGGGGAATGAGGTAGGAAGGGCAGCTTCCTCTTCACTGCATCGTTGGCACCGTCTGAATTTTGCATCGTGATTTTTGCAACAGATTTTTTAAAATTATAATAACAGTATGTGTAGAAGTTTTTGAAAATATAGAAGCATGTTAAGATACACTGCTAGCTCCCCTAAAACCTTTTTCCTGTTCCCACAGAAATCAAGATTTACATGAGCAAGACACCCAGACACAGCCTGTATCTCCCCACCTAGCTGCAGCCAGGCTGAAACTAACTCCCAGACACGGGAACACGAGCTAAAGCGAGCGCTCCTCACCTGCTGTACTTGCTTATAAAACAAAGCGCTTGCTAGACTTCTCCTCATTCCCTCTTCCTGTGAGATTCCTCGTGTGGTGGGAACTCAGCTTTGTCAAGGGGAATGAAACACAGCCACAAGGTGGGGGGTGTCTTTGAAAGACCTCATGAAGCTGACCCGCCCCACTAGCTCGGACTGGAAGACTATTGCATGAAAGCTAATACATTTCTATCTTAATTTACACCAATGTATTTAGAAATCTTTATCACAGCAGATTACCCGGTGCCCTAATGCATGTACATGGGGGAGAAGAGAGTATATTTTTCTTCCCATCTTTAAGCTTATCAATATTAGCAGCTTACTACAACCTTACAGGCATTTTTCTATGCATCTCTTTATATTAGATCATATGAGCAACTATATGAAAAATTCTGAGCCTCTGTTCCTGCTCAGAAGATGTGCTGTGTTCTTATTTTATAAAAGCCAATTCCCAAACTATCCAAACTACCCTAAAACATTTAGAGAAAGTTCTAGAACTCAAATATTAATGGTATTCCTTCCTTCAGCTATACAAATACGTCATCTTTGTTCTCCTCCTCCTCCTCCTCTCTGTCCTTCTCCTCATCTTCCTTGCCCTCCTACCATGTAAGACACTACCACACACAGATGATGGTCCTAATAAGTACCTTTCCTAGCACACACCCAGGAGAAATGCACTGCTCTCAGCCTTGCTCCGTGGGCAATGCCAGCTCACACACAATAGCTACTATTTCTAAGAACTTTCCCTCTTGTTAATGGGGAAAGGATACACAAAAATTATTACATGCCTGAGACATGGGTGTTATCAGACTCCTCTAAGAGCTTTCATAAATAAATGTTTTTATAATGAATGTATTAGAAGATATAGGAAATTTCTGATGACACAAACAGACCTAAAGAATCATTGAAAAAACGTTACATTTCAGCATTTACATCAGTAAAAATGAAGCTGAGCTGAAGCAGTGTGCTTAGAAAGACAAACTAGGGAGGTAAGAATTCTTGAATGATGTCAGGCCATCAAAGGGCAATTGATCCACTGACCAAAACCAAAGAACTTCTGAAGAAGAAAGGGGATCTCACTTGGCGGAGCAGTCCCTATGCACAGGAACCACAGCTGCAGAGTTCCAGAGGAGGAACACATTTGTGACTTAATACATTTTTCTGGCTGGGAAAGAAAACAAAAAGATACAGAAGGACACCTAGGGTGGTTGAGATCTGGATGCCATCATGGAGAAACCTGGGTGCTTTAGGGATCTTTCACTGCTGTAAAAAGCAAATGGTCACCACCAGTGATTTCTGTGGGGAAAACCGAAAGAAAGACAGCCTTGCCCAAGAGTAGGAGAGAAGAGAGCCAGAGGGGCTAACAGGGCCAATGGGGCACTCAGGGTCTGGCAGGACCAGGCAAAGATGTCACTGTCCCTTCTAAGCAAAGAGGATGGCTGAGGCTGGAGGGAGAGGACCTTGTTTATACAGCCCAGGGCCACTTAGGCTGTGAGATGGAAAAGCGACTGCAAAGGGCAGGAATGAAGATGGGAAAATGGATCAGCTCTCAGCCACACAGTGAAGAATGGGCAGGCTGTGGTCCACAGCTAGGGTGTGGACAGCACCAACAAAGAAAAAGAGCAGGACCAGAGAGAGATACAGGAGGCAGACAGGGCAGAGTGACTTCACTGGGGTTGACAATGGGAAGATGAACCGAGCACAACACCCAACGTTTGTTTGGCAGTAGGACAGAAGATGCCATGTGCAGACAAGGGCTGAGCCGACAGGAGACAACTCCACTCATCATGGGCAAGATGGACTTGCAGTGCCTGTGAGATGACCACTTGATGTCCGACAGCGAGCAGAGGCGCAGGCAGAAGGCAGGCCCCTCGAGGCACACAGCCGTCCATGTGAGGCACTGCCCAGAAGAGCAGTGCAGAATGAAGCCAGCACTATGCAAACCTTTCATGTATCCCAATACCAGGAGTTTTAGAGGAAAACAGGGCCGCAAAGGAGGGACTGGGAAGGATGAAAGTTGAAATACCAAGGATCAGGAGCAATTTAATTTCCCCAAAAAGACGGTTCTTAGGTACAAATAAACAATTCAGAGTATTTCAACTTACAAGCTTTTTTACAGAATGGAACTTATAAGCAAGGCATTTTAACTCTCAGGATTTTTGTTCTTCCCTCTCCCAATATAAAAATAATACTGCTGTCTTATGTATTTACTATTTCGTACTTAACTTCACTGGCTTTTCTTTTACAGCTTTGTGCAGGTATAAATTTTCTAGCTCTGTATGTGGCCAATGCCAGAACAGCTGGAACCAGACCCTCCCTTCAGTAAAAGACAACACGACTTTCAGAAATAGTTAAT